TTATAGGTAAAATTCTGGGTTATGCTGTATCTAAGACTTGTACATTATTATACTTTGGTGTCATTACGGGAAATGTGATGAAAGAAGACAGATACATATTGAAAATTATGCTTGCAGCCTGTAAAAAGGAAATCGCAAGAAAATGGTACAAGATAAACCCACCATTGCAGGGTTAGGGTTAGGGATGAATCGCAGGAGGGATCAAAATTATGGACGAAACATAAATCATGGACTTGGACATGACTTACAAAATAAGGACTCAGGTCAATACCATCACAAGTGGGAGAAATGGACTGAGTACATAAATTCGACAGGATAAAGACGATCACATTGATAATGAGAAATGATCAAATTGTAGAAACATGGTGACCCAACTCGGGGTTTTTTCACCTGTTCTATTTAGTTTTTCTTTTTTAAATGTTATTATTTTTCTTTTTAATGTTCTGTTTTGTTGTTACCCTCTACCCCCACTGTATAATGTTAAAAGAAAAACAATAAACAGAAAGTATCAACAATATTTCTCCCATAATACCTTCTATTCGATGGCTCCTTAATAAAACCAGAATTAGATTTAAAATCTTTCTCCTCACATGCAAGGTCTTGAATATTCAGGCTTCATCTTACTGGTACCATATCACCCTAATAGTGCACTTCACCCCCAGACCGCTGATTACTTCCTATTGTAGGGCATTTAATTGCAGAATGGGAGTGTTCAGTTTTCAGACCCCCTGTTCTGCAGAACCATCTCCCAGTTTGGATTTGGGAGACAGATACTCTACTTTTAGTATTAGGCTCAAAACATTCCTTTTGGATAAAGCGTATAGTTACGGCTGGATCAGGTGACCTTAAATCCTTCCTTATTCATGCTGCAGTAGGCTGAGGTTGGTGGGGGCTTCCCATGATGAGTGTTTCTTCTTTACTCACCTTTTTCAATCACTGTGTTTTATTAAATCTGATTCTTTTTCATTCTTTTACTGAATAGAAAGAACACGACTCAGTTAGTCAAAAATATTTACAATTTTTTATTTAATCATCTTCCGGAAGAGAGAAATCTACACATCCCAAAGCCAGTTGCAAAATCTCTAGCATTAGAAACCAAAAATGTGTCTCATATAGGTGTTATTTTGGTCCTTTACACGTCACACATAGTTTTGATAAAAACAACTGTGTTACTAGTTCCGCTTTTTCTGTCTGGTTTCCTGTATTTTATTAACATGCCTCTGCAGCTCTGCACTAAACTTCCTGTTTCTTAAACTTCCACTAACTTAAGCCTCTGTTGCTAAGGCGACCTATCACCCTCTGACCTAGTTCTCTCTCACAGCTGGCCTTGCTTTATAGAGGCCTTTATTATTAAACTACATAAAGCAATATAATCAGAAAATAAGCACTAAGAATATATGTTTATTCCGTAACAGTTTATTCACCACTCTGCATTTAATCATTGGTTATTATTCAACTCTAGCTCTATCCCAGTGTGTCTTTTGACCTGCCTCCTTCTCTTTACCTTGAACCGGTCACTGCTACCTTAGGCCTGGTTCTGCCTGAGGTTTCTTACTGTTAAAATAGAGGGTTTTTCTTCATACTGTCGACATATGGTTGCTCATGTGGTCGATCATCTGATTGTTGGGGTTTTTCCTCTGTATTGTTGTAGGGTCTTTATCTTACAGTGTAAAGCACCTTGAAATCACCCTGTACCTAGCACCTCCTTCTGATCAGGTCTGGGTCCGCTCCAACCCTCGGTGGTGATCATTATCATGAAGAGCGAGCAGTTGCTGTAGCAGCAACAGCTGATTTCACACAGGTCCTCTTGTGGTGATTTCACTTGTATAACCTCTATACAAAAGTGAAGCGTCTTTTGATCAGTATGTATCATTGTTTATCAGTTTGGACAAGGATGTTTTCTCTCTCTCGTCCTTGTTTGCCATCACCTGTCCCAAAAGAAGTGAAATTCTTGGATCATCCAGTCTGTCTGCAAGATTAGTTAGTTTTACCTTCCCAAGGAGACATTGTTATGGCTTGCGATACTGTCTTGAGAGGCAGGTGCTACTTGACACACTGTGCACTTAAGCTCCTCAGCAAGGACAAATGTGGGACCAAAGGCTACAGTCCCATTTACACAGTCTCTGCATTTGCCTGATGCGGTTTATACATGCACCTCAGGTCAGAACTTGCCCTCAAAATGAACTGTTTTAAGATCACTGAGAGTATTTACATCATACTTTAATATGCAGTTCTAGACCAATAAGTACCCCCTAAATTTTTCACAGCCCATTTGATGACTAAAAGTTCTAATAAAACTTTGGTTCTGCACACTCCTTTCTGCTTTGCAGAGACTGACTAGCAACAGCAGTAGTTGAATCGTACCTTCCCACTGTCCTGTCACAGGACAGCTCCCAGTCCATCATGATTTGTTACTGTAACAAGTTTTGTTAAAATGTGCACAGGTCAGCACAGTGATGTGAGCATCTGAAAAGCTATCTCGCAGGCCTAAATCCAATGGGATTTGGGTCCTTTTTTGCCTCTTGACTTAATGAGTCAGTTTTGCAACTAAGGACTTGAACATGGAGGCAATGTAAGAAAACCCAGGAACAAATAGTCCATAGTAGTTGGCAACATATAGGAATAATTTCAGTTCCTTGGCATTCTCTGGCAGTTCTGGTTTATATCTATGGCCACCCCATCTGCAAAGACACCACATGGCCCAGGTACTTGACTTGCACAGCACATATTCAGCTTGACCTTCAAGTTCTCTCTCTGCACATGCAGGTGACACCAACTGTGCAGTCTGTGCAGACAACCTGATATGAGCCATGATATCAGGTTATAAACTACACCGTTCAAAATGAACGAGAAGGATTAAGGAAGCAAACAAACATCAGGGTCTGCAAGGCCAAGACAATAATAACCACCACTCTTACTAAAAAATAAACATTAATTTCTAAGGTGAAAAAAACTGGCTAAGCTGGCTGACCACAAAACATGAGAAAATTGTGCATAAACAAAAATGGCAGAGAACCCCGATCAAGCTTCCACAAATGCAACACTATTCCAAAATGGCAGATCACTCAAGTTTGCCACTTTTTGTACCAATATCAGCAACCCACACACACACACACACACACACACACACACACACACACACACACACACAACACTGAAAGCCAAACACTTCTCAGCCCACTGGCCAAATGCCAAGGAGTGTTTGGTGCTGGAGCAATATATGAAACAGTCTGAATGCTGTTCAGCTGTGGCAATCAGGTGTGGGAAAACCTTGGACAGGAAGGGAGGGAGAGAGCAGCTTTCTGTCATAAAGGGGCCAAAAGGTCAGTGAAAGTAACACTGGTGGTCTATGGGATTTAGTTAGTTGCGTCAGCTGCTTACACTGACCTTATGCATTTTGGTCCTTTAGGTTCTCCGTACAGAGATAAGATCACTATTGCCATTCTGCAGCTTCAAGAGGAAGGGAAGCTACACATGATGAAGGAGAAGTGGTGGAGAGGAAATGGTTGTCCAGAGGAGGAGAGTAAGGAGGCCAGTGCCCTTGGGGTACAGAACATCGGTGGGATCTTCATCATCCTGGCAGCCGGACTTGTTCTCTCTGTCTTTGTGGCCATGGGAGAGTTCCTCTACAAGTCCAAACAGAACGCACAACTTGAAAAGGTAAGAAATTCATTTGATGCTTTTTGTTTTTTAATTGAAATTGTGATAGTTTATTACAACAAACACATGTCACAAAGAGTAGTCTCATGACAAAGACAAATACAAACACATCAATCAATTTTAAAATAAATGGAACAAAGTACGCTAACTTTCTTCCCCACATTTGTAAGAAAATGATTGTTTCTAGTTTGCGGAAACTTACACTGTGATGACAGTGCCTAATGCCATACAGTAAGATAAGGGTTGGTCTTTTTGCATTTATTCACTTAGGCCCAATGGGGACAAGGAGATAAGAAACGTGAGGAATTCTGCTGTCACCATGGATCCAAGCTAGACTTTAACCATCATCTCAAATGATCTCCAGAAAAACTACAGAATATTTTCTATTGCAATACCCTAAAACTTTCAAAAGGTTTTGTTGTGACAACCCCCAGGAAATGGGAATACTATGAGCAGTTTACTAAAAAAATTGGAATGCTGGCATTCAATCACATGTACCTGTTTTTACAGTTTACTAAGCCGCATGACCCACTTCATCAACAGCCACACCCACCCGCACACATTTCCCAGTGCTGCTTTTCATTTCCACGTTGCACAATCCCATCCTACTTGTGCTGTCACCATTTTCACTGTTTATATCTGTAGTATTTAGTTCATAAATAGCTTCTTTTAATAATAATGTATACTTTATTAATCCCCTGTAGGGAAATTCCTCTCTGCATTTAACCCATTCACCCAGTGAAGCAGTGGGCAGCCACCAGTGCCCGGAGAGCAGTCTGTAGGGACAATACCTTGCTCAGGGGTACCTCAGGGTATCCGTTCAGTGGATTTGACCCCCTGACCTTTCGATCATGGGGCAAACACTCTACCTACTGAGCCATCTCCTCCCTCCTCTCATTTTAATCAGTTGAGAGACAAGACTGGAACTTTTAAGCAAGCATCTAGCCTCAGATACGTTGCTACTATAAAGGCCTAGAGCACCAGACAAAACTCAGCTGTATTGAAAAATATGTCAAGTACCTTTTCCCCCAATTTCCACCAAAAGTGTACTGCCAGTGCTTACGTAGTGCCAGTTTTACTGTGATGCTTTTTGAGGCTGCATAGCAACAAGTGCAATAAATAGGTTGCACTTTGTAGTTTTGCATTATATCCTATTATGCCTCTTCAGATGACCAAAGTCACGTCAAAGTCTGCTTTATTGTCAAAAACCATACAGATCATAAACAGGAATTCGAAATTGCAGTGCTCACACTGCCCTCAATTTTACATTCAAACAACAAAAACATAAAAAGATTAAAACAAAAATGTCCAACACAATCCAAGTGTTTGAGTGACCGTCTCTCAGTCTGCTGGGTATAGCCCATAGGCTCTTCAGTCTCGTTCCTGACGGCAGCAAACTGAAAAAGCTGTTGGACAGATGAGTGGAGTCACCTATAATGCAGAGGGCTTTTCGGATGAGGCGGGTGTAATAGATGTTCTGAAGGAAGGGAAAAGAAGTGCCTCTGTAGAAGTTGCTCATAAGGCTTTTGCTCTCCTCAGTTTGCAGAGGAAGTCACTGTTGGGGTTTACTGGTCAGAGATGCTGTTTTTTGACCAGGAGAGATCTTCTGAGATGTGCACACTCAGGAACTTAGTGCTGCTTACCCTCGCCACAGCAGCACCGTTGATGGTTAGTGGGGTGTGCAGGGTGTGAGTTCTCCTGAAGTCTATGATGATCTCCTTAGTCTTCTCAAAATTCCGGGACAGTTCTGTGCCTCAAAGCAAGCGATGAATTTGTTTAGCTCATCTGGTAGAGAGGTGGAACTGACAGCAGTCTGCAATGTGGGCTTTTAGTCTGTGGTCTGCTGTCACAGAAGCTCTATGAAATCCTCCTGGAGTACTTTCCTCTATGATGCCAAGGGACAGATTTGCCTTTGCTGTTCTTAGGCTCATCTAAAGCTGGGGATGAGCTGTCTCACCCTCAGGAGGCTGTAAACCTCAAATATGAGCCATGGTTTCTGGTTGGCCCAGACAGTAATAGTCTTGGTCTCTGTGACATCATCGATGCACTCTGAGATGTAGCCAATGACAGTTTCTGTATATTCCTACAGGTCTGTGGTGTTGTAATGTGTGGCAGCCACTTTAAAGATCTCCCAGTCTGTGGTGGAAAAACCGTCTTGCAGTGCCTCTGAGGACCTTACACACGTACCTGTTTACAAACTGGTTTCGTGACTTTGACCAGAGGCCTGTATACTGGCATTAGCATAACAGTGATGTGATCAGATTCACCAAGGTGGGGGAGGGAGAGAGCTTTGTAATCTCCTCTCTGGGTGGTGAAAACATTGCCCAGAATGTTGTTTCCCTGTGTAGGAAATTTAATGTGTTTGTGCAGTTTGGGAAGCACAGTCTTTGGGTCTGCATGATCGAAATCACCCGCTAGGACGAGAAAAGCATCTGAGTGGGCTGTCTGCTGTTCACTGACATGCTGATACAGTTCATTCAGTGCCTCACTCCTGTTGTTGTTATTAGAGCAGGGAGCGATGTAGACAGCAACAAACAGTATGGCTGAAAATTCCTTCGGTAAGTAGAATGGTCTGCACTCAATGATCATAAGCTCCAGCAGAGGTGAACGGTGTTTGCAAGCCACAACAGCATCAGC